TCTCTCTCTCTCTCTCTCTCTCTCTCTCTCTCTCTCTCTCTCTCTCTTGTGTAACGAAGTAACGGGATGCACGCATTAACACCTTTCTTCGACGTCGCGATGTACAATACTTATTTCGGCATGTACACCGCGGGCAGATACACAACATTAGTCTTGTAACATATCACTATGTACGATCTCATCGTATTCAGAATATTCAGATCGTCGTAAGAGCAGGAGAAACATGTCGAGAGTCTTGTTCGCCTCATGTCGACGCGTATAATTCTGCTAAACATTCAGAACTACGACGCCGGTTTGCGGTTAATCGAACATCTTCGACGCATCGAGCGCAGCGTCTTCGTTATTACTTTCCGATTATTAATTGCAAGATCATACCTCGCGGAGGTGAACGTACGCGTGCGTTTCGTATAGATATGCCATTAGAGATACGTATCTGTGACACGCGCGCGCGCGTGTCTCTATTCGGCCTCGCATGAGAAATGACAAATGCACGTGTATGCGCATCGTACACACCGTACATACGTACCATCGTCGGTGTCGGGTGGTCTTATGCGAGCGATCGAAACGGCCAACCAAGCCAACCGACCAACCCCGGGTTTATTATTACGCGGTGGCACCGTGCAATTCGCGCGGGCCGAAGCTTAACGTTCGTAAAGCACGTAGGCATTATCGCGCGAACAAGGGGTTCCTTTAATATTTCGATCAGCGCGCTCGCGAGTTATTATCCTCGCAAATCCCGCCGCGGGCCGGCCCGTACGCCCGCATGAAGACATTACACGAAAGCACCAACCTGCCGAAACGTTCGAACACCGTAATTACAACTGCTGCAGAGGAAGAGACGGCGAGGGCGAGAATCGCGCGTGACAAAGGTAATTGCTCCCGTGTTAATTCTTGCCAAATGTATCGACGGCACGTCATAATTCAGCGAATTAGCCTTGCGAAAAACGTTTAACTCTTAATTTTACAGACTCATCACGTTGACGTTTGTTAATCTGATATCTTTTCATAGACTTTTATATGAAGAGCTTTAATCTAAGTATCTTAAATTATGAAATATTTATTTTCTTTTACCGCAATTTCTTAAAATGTAAAATTTTATAATATACCTTTTGAAGAAAAATAATATCTTTTAAAAAATATTTTGAATATTTTGAATTATGTAAATTATTTTGTGTAATTAAACAAAAGGATTTGTGTTAGAAAGTATGTTATAACGAGATTCATAAAATCTTATCATAATAAACAAATGTCGCACGAATATTGATATATTATATAAAAAATCATGTAAGTTTTTACATAGTACTTTTTTTCACTGCCGATAGCTCTTATCGGGACAAAGTGTTTGCAAAATGGATTCTCGAAAATGTAGAATGCTTAGAAGAGAGGAGAATTCACGACGGAATCTGATGTCATGGATACATTGCCTAAAGCGATCAATCATTTCTCTGGAGAAATAGCTCCGACAGGATATGTAGTTATTTAGGACGAAGCGATTTTTTTAAAACGTAAATTTGACACGTACTAATGATTCACCTAAGGCTTGATCCGAACAGTAGAAACTTACGAGGCACGTCAAATTACAATTGTCGCGATCACTTTCATGCTTCTCGCGCGGCAAAACCGGTTTTGCTCTCTCGGACCATTTTCATCAAAGACGAATGATCGACGAGATGAATGATCGACAAACAGACAAATAAACAGGCGAGTCTCTAATTAGCCAATGAGAGGAATTTTCATTCCCTTATTGTTGCTTATACATCAAGTTTGAGTACAAAAATACAGTGCCTTAGGCAATTGCTATCTCTGGCAACTCGCAAGGTAAACTGGGTTTTTGCTGATTTTTATAATTGGTATCAGACGCTTCTTCATTCACTTGTTCTAAAAGCAGCTAGTAAAAGAGATACCTGTTTGCAGAATATATAAATAGCTTGTTACGTACAATTAATGTACAAAATACTATAGAGAAACTTAATAATTTTAAAGAAATTAATTATTAATATTAATTTAATATAATATAATTTAAAATTACTTGATAAGTATAAAAAGTTAATAAAAAAGTTAAATTAAATGTATAAGAAAATTTATTATATTGTAAAATGCAACTATTTACGATGTCAATAACGACATCGTTTCGTAACTTCGTATGTAATTCATTATTTATATAAATTACAAAAATTAATGGCTGTATTTTTATTTAAGTTTACGTATTTTATAAAATTATAAACTCATAGAATAAATTTGCAAAAGCGCTTAGATATATTTTACATGTATATACACACTCTATCATTACTACTCGTAGTGTATAAAACATTTCATTTTTCATATAAATAACCGAAGTCAATTGTAGATAACACTCGATTATCTATCGAGCATGTATATCGTGTATATCGTCGTATGCACGAGAAATATCGCGACATACATTTGCGTCGATTCTGGTTTTAACGGCCGGTACTTCCCTGCCCGTCCATTATTTTTTCCTCATCACGTCCGATAATATTCTATACGACCTTGAAATCGACTATAAGAAGAAAACTTGAAAACGATTGAATTCAGACTCTCGCTGAGAAGTTCGTTGCGATGAAGCGAATTCTGGAATTGTTCGTTCTCGCGACGATCTTGGTCGTATGTTCGGCTAACTGCCGATCAAACTTACATGGACATCAAAATTATTACCAGTGTGAAAATGTCACGAATCTACAGGTATTGTTTTATCGATTTATTTAGGTACTAATTTATATCTGATTCAAAATTTTAAACTCTTTCTGAAACTTTCCTTCAAGAATAAAAAGTTTCTTTTCAAATTGCTTACTATAGAGATAATTTGAATAATCATAATACTAAAGAAAAAAATGTGTCACAACGAAATATTTTTTCAACCATAAAATTAATACTAATTAATTATCAGATTTAAAATGGCATTATATAACATAAAGTTATTATATTCTTTAAATCGTATGTTTCATCAATCATATCTCTGTATGCACTCATAATTACAGATACTCTCAGTGATACCTAAAGGAGTAATAGGCATCAATATTAAGAATTCGAACATCAAGAAAATACCGACAGACGCATTCTTGATGCATGCCGATTCTCTGGAGGAACTTAATATCACCGGATGCGGCGTGGAGGAGATCGAGCCTAACGCGTTTCGAGGTCTCAAACTACGCGTGCTGGGATTGGTAGACAACAGAATTCGTAAATTAGACTCAATGTGGATTCAGGATTTGACGAACCTTAATGCGCTTATCGTGTGGCGCAATCGAATCGCCGAAGTTGATGTGCAATTATACGATTTGTTGCCGAATCTAGAGTTCTGGGATATCGCGCACAACGAGATGAATGCTTGTTTACCTACGGAATTACTGAAAAAGCTAACGAAACTGAGAAAGATTTATCTCGCTAGCAATCCATGGTCGTACCGATGTCGCCGCTCGATGACGTGGTACTTGGGTAGTAATCATATCCGTTTTGTCCAAGATTGGGGTAGCAGCGACATGCTAATTGAAGAATGTCTCGCCCATGAGCCAAACGCCGACGTCGACGACAATGCTTTATCCAAATGCGTTGATCGCAAGATCGGCTCTACTGAGATGCTGCAAACTGTGTCTGGACTGAGTGAACAGATCCGAGAACTCTCAAGAAAAATTATTGAATTGGAAATCGAAGTCGCCGCTTTGAAGAAAACCGGATATTAATTCAAAGCTTGGAATCTTTTTACCTATTTATGAAATTGCGTTAATGTATAATGCATCAATATAATAAATTTCAGCAGAATATATAACATCGACATATAATAATTCAGTACTTTTTAAATTTAAATTAAATATCGTTGCAATTGTAGCTGGAAATAACATTCCAAATACAATGAACTTTGATAAATTGATAAGACCACTTATTTCAAATGCGATGTGCGACTTTGAAATTATATGACTTTTCAAACGATACAAACGATTGAATGTAAAGTGTAGAAAAACTTTCAAAATTAAATATCAAATAAACGTTCAAAATAAACGCTTCCAAATTCTCACGTAAGAGACAATCGGTGATGCGATTATTCGCGCTCAAAATGATTGAAATATTATACAGCGATGCGCTCTGTAATAAGAACATCTACTTTGATATTCAATCGCATCGCAACCTCGTATCAACGATATGAACGATATATCGAATTTCAAGTAAATTTTTTTTAAAAGTTTTCTTTCCGCAATTTTTTTTATATCTGACAATATGCTCACCGATAGTTCTACAATCAGTAATAAACCGTATATGTGTTAATAAATCTTATCGTTTTCGTTCTTTCCCAGTTAAATTGAGAAAATTTACAAAAATCACTATATGCACTTTTGATCCGTAAGGTATTCATAGATCACAGTAACGTGTCGCTTAATACGCTAACATATTAAATCATCCTACGTCCGTGAAATTATGGTTCTCTTTGCAACGAGACAAGAACGTTCCAGTTCAGTCGCCATTCATCAGTGTCGATCAAAAAATGCGTACCGCGCGCAAACGTATAGCAGATCGCACCCGTACTTGTATTCATAAGAGATCTTTAGGGCGGTTTCCGCGATCATTAATAATAATTCCAGGACGGCAAAGTGAGCAGGAAAAAACAGGAAGGGCGTTGGCAGGCTAAGAAGGTATGTACTGGCCTGCAGCGTAATTGTAAGTGAGAGTTTCAATGTGACTGTTACACATGTCATACTAAAAACATACAAACGATATCTCGATGCTAAGATATCGAGAGATATTTATACGAATGTAGATTGCAAGGCTTTTTAATACGATTATTGTCGGCCTCAATAAATCTTAAAATTTAATGACAATTATGAAAATTAACTCTTAATCTTTTCAGCATTCACTAGCTTTTTTTCAATGTTTTTTCATTGCTTATAACTTTTTTATTAGGTAATAAAAAGACATAAATACATTTATTTATGTTTCTTAATATTTGGCGTTTTGATTAAAAACAAAATGTTTTTAATCAAATTTTTAACACAATATGTTTATTTAATTTATAAAAGTTTTAAAAATTGAGAGTTGAGTATGCTATATTAATGTATTATTCCTATAGATAGGCATTTAAAGATTAAACTACGTTTAAAGATTAAAATATAACGTATAACATTCTTTCAAGAAATTAAATTCGGATTGTAAGATGATACTTGACATCAATTAAAAAAAATCGTTAGAAGAAGATTAATGAAAATAAGATATATAAGAAGACGATTTAATTTATTTTCAAATTATTAAAAAATAAAGAAAATATGAAAAAATCGATTTTCTATTATAATAAATAGTTTGTGAACAGATTGTTTCGTTTTATCCAAAAATATGGATAATCGCGCGAAAATATAGAGATCTTTAAGTATTACAAGATACAAGAGTAAGTTACAAGATAACAATTTTATTTACACTACTTTTAGAGAGTTTTTATCCTACAGCTCAGATAAAAGTTTTTTTAAATAATTTATTATATTTGTTAGTGCACGTTTCTAGAACCCAGTAAAGTTGTCTTAGGTATCGGCTAGTGATGAGATGAATTGGTTTACTTAGTCGTTTTATCGTATGATCTATGACGGATTTCACGGTGATCGACGCGATTCGTAAAGTCGACACGGTAGAAACACACACACACACACACACACACACACACACACACACACACACACACACACACACACACACACGCACGCACGCGCACGCACACATACACGTACGTACAGTAGCCATGTGGAAAGGACATTGTTCCACCTACTGTGCGCAAGGAAACTACCGGTTCTCCGTGATTTATGGAGAGGGTGCCCGCTGCTCGTGCTGCCACACCGCATCCTCGGGGTCCTCCTCTTCATCGTCGTCTTCGTCTTCGAACTCCGTCCTCGTCGCAATTTCACCGTGAAGCATTCTCCGTATGCAGGGATTGCTCCAGTTCCCACGTGGCGAGGACTGTGCTCCTTCTCTCTATCTCCGATTCTCTCTCTCTCTCTCTCTCTCTCTCTCTCTCTCTCTCTCTCTCTCTCTCTCTCTCTCTTTCTCTCTCTCCCTCCCTCTGCTGCTATCTGTTTGCCTCTCCAAGAGCGTTCGCTCGCCCGCCGATGCGAGTCATACCGCACGCTACGCGCGGTTATCTATGCACCGCGCTGCACATGCATGCCCTACTACGCACGCCGATACCTACCGATGCTGCACGCGGTGCATTAACATCGTCGGTTGCAACCCGGAAATCCGAACGTAACATGGGCTCGATGAAGCCTCATCACGTACCGCTGTACCGCGTACCGCCCGTTGATCTCGGCGAAAGCTTGGTGATGCAAGACACCGCCAGATCTCGAGATCTTCTCGAAATTAACAATACCGACGCAACATTACATCGCATACATATGAAGAGAGTTACGGCATTAAAAAACACAGAAAAATAAGATATATATATTCTTTTCGCCGAGTATCTCATAATATATTTTAATACATCCTAACGTCAAACAGGATTAGAGTTTTTCAGGTTATAGCCTACCAGCGATGCAACTATTGGCAGGATTGTCAAATTGTGCACGGAAGAAAACGTAAAAATCAAGAGAATGGCATGTCATCGATACATCATGGTTCATCTGTCCGCTGAGCTTCACTAGTACAACGCCCTTTTGTTCTGAGAAATAGAAAAAAAGAGGGAAAGAGGGTGGCTGTGTCTAAGATAAAAGCATCGAGGCGAGCCTCGCGGCCGGCTGGAATCCCGCCAAATAATATACCAGCGCTCTATCCACGCCTCTCTCGTACATAACTACCTCTCTGTTCCTTCTTTTAATGAGGCAGCAGCCGTGTTACTATCGGCTATACGAACTCCATTGGCCCGCTGGAGTACTTTTATATTTATTACGAGAACATGAGAGAAAACGCAAGCGAAGAAAAGCTTGCCAACTGACAGGAACGAAGAAGGAAAGAGAAAGATGAATGATCGTCGTTGTTATGTAGCGCATGTAATCGAGGAGGAGCTGGATGATTCTAGTCTGTATTTCGGCTTTTGTCATACTGCGAAGTGGTAAGCCTCTTCATCGTCATTCTTCTCGTGAGAAAGGCTTACACTAGTCTTTTCCGCATGTTGCCGTTCCCTGGATTTCGTAGATGTACCTGCATTCCCATCTGTAACTGTCAACGACTGAGTGTCTACCAGCTGAGAAAGCGAATGACTTACGGATCAACGTCGAAATTGCCGGTTGTTTTCGACGTTCGTTTAGTTTATATCCGAAAAGAAGGTGATATTTTATGTCTTCTTAGGAACGTTTATCAGTACGCTCTAATTATTAATGTAACGTGTGAAATAACAAATGAATCATGTAAATTATTCTTTATATAGACGATATCAACTTGTTGCTGTAATTATCACAAGTAATATTTTTCTCAGTTGAATAAGGTATTGATGATATCACTGATAAAATAACGATATTGTTCTGGATTTTTTATAATTCAAAAATAAGAGAAACAAATTACAGGATAAAATAAGGCAAAATAAATCTTATTATACAATTTTTTCTAAAAGGTTAGATTGTGATATAGAAACGTGATACAGTATGACCACTAATTTACGAATTTACTTTTCTGTTAATCTTTGTTACAAATATATCCTCATGATAATCTAATAAACACCTTTATTTTCTTTCCTACATTTTTCTATATTATAATACATTATCATACATTATTACATGAAATTTGACTAGAAATGCTTTATTGAAAGTTATAAACAAATATTGATAAAATATTTTTGTAGCCTTTCAATAATGAATAGAACATTGGCATTTTCATGGTAGTTACTATTTTACAACGATAGAAATTTAAGCTATTCTTTTCTAGTCGCTATTTCAGAGGTGAACGAATATCATATATTTATAGGTCGAAATGATACTGAATCATTTAAAGATAGTAAATATAATGTGAATATATACACGAGATAACTTTTCAACTTTCCGTACACAAAAAGTACGTTTTCATATTCTATGTTAAGAAAAATTCATTATTTCATCATGTTCCGTTTTAATATTTGTTTATAACTTTGTAATAAAGCATTTTTAGCTAAACTTCATATAACATTTTTTTATTTCCACTTATAGAATATATTCTCACAGTTTGTCTGTTAAATCCTGAGACACTCTATATATAATAAAAATAATATGTAATAACAATGATAAATGACAGTTTTTTAGAAGAGCATGAACGAGAGATGCTATTAAAACACGCGAACGGGAAGCTATGGACGACAATTTGGAAACGACGATTACAGCTTTTCGTTATTTCTCGTCGCTTTTTTTCGCGCCATCCGCTCTCTTTTTCCGCCTTCGTGTAACGAAATGTAAAAAGAAGAGAGAGAGACAGAGAGAGAGAGAGAGAGAGAGAGAGAGAGAGGAAAAAAAAAAGAAAAAGAAGGGGAAGAAAGTAGTTCGCGGCGTGCACGAGTCGGCTCTCTCGCGTGTAGCCGAGTTAAACCGACGCGGCGGTGATTGATGACGCTTCGGTGTAACGATCGCCTCTGCACCCGCGAACGTGGCGCCGGGTTAGGCTCCACCGGGAGACACGAATGAGAGAGAAAGAGAGCCGGGGTGGAAAGGGAGCAAGGAAGAGTGGAAGGAGGCGAGGCAAGTGAGACAGATGGACGTAGGAACGGACGAAACCCCTCGTTATCCTCGATTTTACAGGAATTAAAGGGCCGATTACGCGCGACCGCCACACCCGCGATTAAGACAGGCGCGGATTAAAATCGTGCCGTTTGGTGATTTTACATCTGACTAAACGTCGC